CTGTCCCCTGGTAGACCGGGCAGTTCATCCGGAAATACGTCTGGAAAGTCTCGGACTACTGGAATCTCTTGGATACAAACTTCCTTCTTGGGTTTACCTAGTTAGGGAAAATACAATATCAACGCACATGTACCACGTCCGGGTCTGCATCGGCATCCTTCTGGGTAAGGTTGTAAACTCTGCCCTGGATTGGAGGCCTCCCTTGATTCTGGTTCCTATGGCACTCCCTCGCATAGTGCTGGGCACTGCCGCATATGCGACAGGTGTTGTTGAGGCGGTAGCAGGGTCGGTCCCCATGATCCCTGCCGCAGTACTGGCAGGTCTTCCCACGAGCTGCCCCCATAGCCTGAGGAGGGCCCTGAACGGCAGGCCTGGGTCTTTTACTGGGTTGGACAGGCATGGTAGGTGCTGGCCTGCGGAGCGGGGCTGAAGGTCGGGAACTTCCCGCTAGCTGAGGGCGGGTGTCGAAGCTCCTTTCTATGATCTGCGCCTTTGCCGGGACTGCCGAATATGTCTCGAGCTCCATCACCAACAAGTGCTGTCTGATCGCCGGGCGGAGACCCCACTGGAATTTCCTGGCCTTTCGGCCCTCATCCAACAATGTCTCCGGGGCATGTCGGCCCAGCTCCAGGAACTTGCGGGCATACTCCGACACTGTCATATTGCCCTGGACCAACTGAGCAAATTCCATTTCCTTTAAATGTTGGATGTGTTTAGGGAGATACTCTGCATGGAAAGCCGCTAGGAACTGCTCCCAAGTAACTGGTACAGGCAGGGTGGCCCGCTTGAGCTCCCACCAGTGTACTGCTTCCCCTACCAGCATGTAGGAGGCAATGGCAGCCCTCTGCTCAGGAATTACTCCCAAGGTCTCAAAGGCTCTCTCAGTCTCCGCCAGCCAGTATTGGGCCTCTTCGAAAGAGGATCCCCCTAAAAAAGTAGAAGGGTTCAGTCTTCTGTACCTCTCTATGAAGCCGGGGTCGATCAAGGAGGGACCGGGGTCCCGAGGTAGAGGGACTGGGGTCGGCTGAGGGTGAACTGGGGGACCCTGTGGTGGCGCCTGCTGATGGGGTGGGGGCACTGGAATGTGCTGTGGTGGTACTTGTTGGTACTGTGGAGGAACAGGCTCCTGCCGGGGTGGCTCGGAATCAGCCTGCTGTAACGGGGGCTCAACCTGCGCTAGCGGAGGAGGTCCGGGTAACTCCCTTCTCTCCTCTTGCCTTCGCTGGGCAGCTACGAGAGCTTCCACCATCTCATATAATCTGTCCAAATCCTCCCGAAGCGAATTATCTTGGGCCGCTCGGTTTAGTGGGGGCCTTCCTCTCCTCATTTCTGTGTACCTGCTTTTACAAGGAATGGTTGAGTAACGACCAATCGGTGAGTATTTCTTTAAAGGACTATAGTGTAAGGGATGGGTCCGAGGAAACCTGGCTCTGATACCAACTGTAACAGCCCCGGAAAATATTAAAAAGAAATGAGTATTTAAATATATCGAATGCGGAAGCGAGATCAAAATTTCAGTTAACATCCCTTACACGAAAAACCAAAAACGTACTTAAAATATAAAAGATTAAACTAACTAAGAAATAAACTCGAAAATAAACTATGCGTATGACTACAGAGTCTCTAGGCATCCCCTTCGTCGTCCTCCTGCGGAACGGGCTCGGGAACCATGTCTTCCTGATCTGAAATGGTTAATTAAGGAGTGAGCTACACTAGTCCAGTAAGAATATCACGATATCTCACCGTCACGGAGATAAAGGTGGGTAGAAAAACACAAAAAGACCAATGGAGCATAATTTACACAAACTCGTTTATTAACATGAAAACATTTACCCTCCACTTACCTCGGTGAAATTTATGAAAACAATATAAGAAAAACAATAACATTATCATAATCATTGAATAATATAAGCTGTAAAACATAACACTTATCACGCCCCTTGAAATTTCAATCATTGTACAACATATCTTTTTCTCATTTACCAGCCTACTAGTATCCGTGGGGGTCCATAGGGGTTCCGCTACCCGTTAACCTTTAACATTCATAATCAGTTTCCAGGGCCGTCCCCATACCCCGTCCGGTATGGGCGCCAAAACCATGAACCTCAATACCCCGTCCGGTATGAGGGTGAAACGGGCCGTCCCCATACCCCGTCCGGTATGGGCGCCAAAACCATAAACCTCAATACCCCGTCCGGTATGAGGGTGAAACGGGCCGTCCCCATACCCCGTCCGGTATGGGCGCCAAAACCATAAGATCTCCATACCCCGTCCGGCATGTGAGACCACAATCCCGGTAGGGTTCCCTACGGACCCGGTCCGTCCACCATCTCCCAGGATATCTAGTCAGGCTGACCCCCATAATACAATTATCAGTCTACACAATCTTTCATTTTCCTTTTCCTCAGTCAGCATCATCAATTCACATTTAAACAAGTAAAACAGTAATTCATGCCGAACAGACAACATACAGTATCAGTTTTTCAGTCATTCAACCCATGATTAATAAAAACGTAGTATATGCACACCAATCTGTAAAATGAACACATCAAACCTCATTTTGCATTTAAAGCTGTAAACAGGCTAAATAACAGTAAATCACCAATCACACTAGACTCGGGCTCCATTAGCCACCTTAAGCAATTTCACACATTCGTTAATTCAAGAAATACCGTTTTATCATTTTGAACTTTAATACCGTGATAGGAAATAGGGTGAGGGGTCCTTACTTGTTTTCGAGATCCGAATACGATTCACAGTGCGTCTGCAGGCCGTCCCTAATTTTCCCTGAATTTTTCCCGGGAAACTGAAACACACTAAGAGTACCTGCACGTGTTCCAAAAAAAATCCAAATTAGGCCCAGGGCCTCTTTCGGCCCAAATCGCAACTCCGGCACGGCGGCTCCGCCGTGCTCCGGCGACGGCGCCGCCGCTGGCGGCGGCAAGTCGCCTCGGATTGGCTGTTTTCAGCCGAATTCGGCCACACTCGCATTGGTCCTTGTCAGAAAACAACCCTAGGGCCCTCGGGGGGCCAAAAAATCACAGAAAAACGGAGCTTACCGGCGGCAGCGCTCTCGGGTGCGGCGGCTCTCCGGCGAGGTTCGTGTTTTGGTGATTCGGCTCCGGTCAACCTGTAGAGAAAAGAATGGTGATCACGGTGATATAAAAATTGCATCGAACGGAGGCCGGGAAGGGCCTCGTCGGAGGCAAAAACCGAGAGGGGGCGCCGCGGCGCCGCTGGGCTTCGGCCGCGTATTCCGGCCGTTTGGCCGGGATTTCGGCCTCGATTTGGCCATAGGAGGAATCAGCGGGGAAAAACGAGTCGGGGGTATGAAATTTACCTCGATCGGCGGTCGAAAATTTCCCCGGTGCGGCGGCGAGTGGCGGCGGGTGGCGGCGGTCGGCCTCTGGTTCGTCTTCTCCGGCGAGCGGCTGGCGGCTAGGGTTTGTGGTCTGGTGTGGGGGTTCTATTTATAACCCCTTGCCTTTTGATCACAGCCGTTCATTTCGTTTTAATCTGGGCCGTTCGTTTTTGATTGAATCTGGGCCGTCCGATCGCGCGATTGATCTGGGCCGTCCGATCGCACCCACGCGGATCGCCAACGTGGCTCCTTTCGGAGTGACGCGATCTTGCCACGTGGCAGGCCCTGGTTGGCCGGGCCTGCTGACGTGGCCCCCTTTTTTTTTTTTCCTCCTTTCCGGGTGCTACAGGTCATTTTCGGCCAAACTCGGCCACACTTACATCGGTCCCTGCGATAAAACAACCCTAGGGCCCTCGGGGGGCCAAAAAATTACGAAAAACCGAAGCTTACCGGCGGCGGTGCTCTCGGGTGCGGCGGCTCTCCGGCGAGGTTCGTGTTTTGGTGATTTGGCTCTGATCAACCTGTAGAGAAAAGAATGGTGATCACGGTGATATAAAAATTGTATCAAACGGAGACCGAGAAGGGCCTCATCGGAGGCAAAAACCGAGGGGCGCGGCGGCGCCACTGAGTTTCGGCTGTGTTTTCTGGCCGTTTGGCCAGAAGTTTGGCTCCAATTTAGCCACAGGGGAACTCAGCATTGAAAAACGAGTCGGAGGTATGAAATTTACCTCGATCGGCGGTCGAAAAACTCCCCGGTGCGGCGGCAGGTGGCGGCGGCCGGCTCCTCCGGCGTCTGGTTCGTCTTCTCCGGCGAGGGCTGGCGGCTAGGGTTTTTGTGGTCAGGTGTGGGGGGTTTATTTATACCCTTTGCCTTTTAATCACAGCCGTCCATCTTGATTTAATCTGGGTCGTTCGATCGCGATTTAATTTGGATTAAATCTAGGCCGTCCGTGCGCACGGGGACGCATCTGGGCCGTCCGATCACGCTCACGCGGATCGCCCACGTGGCCCGTTCCCGGGTCGGCGTGGCCTTGCCACGCAGCAGGTCCTGGTTGGCCAGAGCTGCTGACTGGACCGCTGACGTGGCTGCTGACTGAGCCGCTGACGTGGCGCTGACGTGACACAATTTTTCTAAATTGCATTTTGACCCCCCGGTTTCTGATTTTCTTTTCAAAAATACCCACAGAATCCAAATTTTCACCCATTTTTTTCAAAATCAATTTCAATTAAATCCAAATAATATTTTTACCCAATTTTATCATTATTATTATTTTTAGTTTTATTAAATTAAATTAAATAAATTAATTAAAATTCAAAAATTATAAAATAAACTAAATAAAATAAATTAAAAATTAATAAAAATAATAATAATAATGACAAAATTAGTGGGTGTTACACATGATAATTTCAACTAAAAATAATAAAAATGTCAAAAAAGTATATTTATGATATATATATATTAATTTCCATACAACTATATAATATATTACTTATACAGTATAATTCTCTTTTTTTTTTTAAAAAAAAAAAAAAAAAGGCAAAGTGCAGATAATGCATGGATAAGAAGCATATTTTTTATACATTTATTATATACATTATTTGGGACAGAAGTGTTGCAATTATGGTCACGACACTGGATTTAATTACAGAACGTGCAGGGATCTACGACCCACGTTTTATTTCTTTGACATATATGCCCATCCAAGAGGCCTCATATAACATTTTTCATGAGGGTATTTTCGTAAAACTACAGGCACTCATACAAGCGCCAACGGTGGGAAAACGAAACAGCGCGGAAGTAACCTGCAATTTCTCGGCCGAGCTCGACAGCCATCCATGGCGCTACTCGAGAGTTGACAGCACGACGGGTACTCTTTTGTCTCCATTTCTTCTTCACTACCCTTTAATAATTCCATTGGAACTTCTACAACAGTGCTATTAATGCCGGAGATCCAAACTGTTCACCAACTAATCACACAGTCCCCTCAGTTTTTGAAGTGTCCGTACACTGTTGAAGTGAAAAAGAAAAGATGAAAACCCAGCTATCTTCATCCGAGGAAGACGAATACGAGTCATCAAGACTGGTGTACTGTTGGTGGAGAACCGGAGCTGAGTTTGATAATTTCATGAGAATGAAGCTGGACTTGCTCAGCGTGTCGACTCTCTCGCCGAGATTCAGGCTGTTCAGAGAGCTAGAAAGGTTGGCTGTGATTGCTCCCGATGGACTCAATGAGATCCGGCACAAGCTTCTCGCGTATCGTTCCGGCGATTTCTGGGTACCCACCGGCGGGATTAGCAAGGAATCTATGGATATTCCGCCGGTCGGTACGATTCTCTTGGTGGGTTTCTCCGGATCGGGCAAGAGCTCACTCGTCAACCTCATGTACAGCGTTTTAGGCCGTACAGGACTCGTCCCCTTCGCCCAAACATCATCAGGTCTGTAATTAGTAGTAATCCCCATCTTTTTGTCTCTTTTTCAAATTCAAATTTCAACTGTTTCACTTTTAGGGTTCTTCAGGGAATTCATCAAATTCCACCACTGTGTTCATGGAAGAGCATAATGTGGTGAGATCGACGCGAAATGGGTTTTGCGTTTATGATTCTAGAGGGTTTGATTACGGAAAAGTAACCGAGTTTCTAGAGGAAATCTCGGGTTGGATGAATGATGGGGTACACCATAACCAGCTATGCTTGAGACCAGGTGATGATCTCGAGCAGATAAAAGATAAAGTTGAGAATCTTAATCTGAGATCTTCTTCCAAGTTTGTTCAACGGAGAGTGAATTCTGCAATGGTGGTTGCCAATGTTGCAGAGATATATAAAGCTCTAAAAGCTGGTGATTTAAAGCCATTAGAGGCTACAAAACAGCTCTTCTCTTCCCCTGCTTTGAGAAAAAGCAGTGAGTTTTTTCTCCCTAATCTTGGCATGTTAGTTAAGAGTAGTTTCTTTGCTTGATATTGATTACTTTCCTAATCCGTCATTAATGTCTGATAAGTTATTGTCTTGGATCATGGAACTGAGATTCTGAGAGGTCATAAAGGTTTTTTTTTTTTTTTTTTTCCATTTTAAGAGGAACTATAATATAGTATATTTATTTCTCCATCAAAGTACATTATTGTTCATTTTCTCACAAGGGAACTTAGCATGTGATGTTTGGATGACAGTTTCTTGCCTTCCAAACAAAATTTTACTGTTCGTAGAGAAGATTCCCTCCTTTTTGTCACTTTCCTTCACATTAGGATGATAGTGTTGATTGTTTTTTCATCCGTAGATTTCCAAATTCAAATCTAAACCATTCAATTGATTTTGTGAATTGACTGGACTGTTCATATTTCTTAAAGTGGAGATAAAGTAATCAATGAGTTAAGGTCTGTCAGTCACATTTCATAGTTGTTAAAATACAAATCACAATACGAACAATAAATTCGGTGACTTTTTATTAGTTTAATCATCTTGAAATATTATTTACAATTTATTATTATTTAATGTGTTATCAAAGCTTATAATTTGGAGCCCTTCCCCTTCTACATATTTCTCCTATCGATCTCCATAGCTGGGTTTCTCTTATTTGGGTTGTCATTTACATGTGCAATTTCATTTGTGAGTGAGAGAGAGTATTTGGGTTCCCTATAACTTGGTTCTGTTTGATCCACACATTATTTCTCACACGTTAGGATGAGTTTTAGACACAAAATGAACAGTAAAGTTTAGATTATTTTTTACAAGCTTAAATTTTTTGAGAAATTCACGTACAATTTATTATAGGCTAAAATATTTTCCCCGGTTTTGTATTATTATTTTTTTCCGTTTAATTTGGTCCCCTGCTTTGATTTTGCATTAAATTAGTAACCTATACTTGCGAAAAATGTTTGAATTAGTCCTTTATTAGTAGCTCATAACACCATTAACATATGATGTTACGTGCCACTGATCTTGGTATAACATTTTTTGGTTGATTATTTTTCTACATTAGATGTTATATCAGCTGTCATGTGGCAGCATCACGGAGAAGAAATTTTAATTTTAATGTGGCATCTAATATGGAGGAGTAGCTAACCAAAAGATGTCATGTGTGAGAAGTGATGGCATGTAGCATCATATATTAACTGTGTTACTGATGGAGAAGAACTAATTTGAGGCAAACACCAAATCAAACCAAAGAAAATAGAATTAAGTCTAAAAAAAATATTTTAGAAATTTATTATTAAAAAAGTAGTCAAAGTTGTTTGTCCTTCATTTCTTTCTATGGGTTGATAAAATTTCCAACCAAAGAATATGAACAAGGAAGTTTATTGATATTCATTTATCAATCCTGTTTCATTCTTGCTCATTAAGCAGCAAACCAAACACTACAGTTCATAATTTGGGGAATAATTTGTAAACATCCAACCCACAATTCTCTCCTTCATTTTCGTATGCTAAGTATGAGATTAATGAAAACTTGTTTATAAGAGAAAATTAGTGCCTTCTCTGTTAGTTGAAGTTTTCAATAAAACTTTTTAGAGCTTCTTATTTACTGCAGTTCACTGGAATGATGAAATTCTGAGTGAAAAAATTCCATGCTGACTGCAGATGAGAATCCAATCTTGATCTTAACCCACGGTGACTTGTTATCTGTGGAGGAGAGGATGGATGGCAGACTGAAAATATGTGAACATCTAGGTGTCTCGGAGACTAATGGAGTGTATGACACTGTGTGTCTCACTGAATATGGATTTCTTGCAGAAGAATCTGATCCGGTTACTGCCTATGCTGCAAGCGAAGCTCTGTATAGGGCATTGCTTGTCTCGGACAGAGGCCATTTCCCAAAGAGAAGCTACATAGATTGGCCTATTCTGGTACTCTCTTGGCTCTTGTGTTTGATTGCTGCATTTTTTGCTTTGCTTGCTGATGTTTTCTCTAAGCTTGGACAAAAAAAGAAATTGAAATAGTGATCGGAGATTGGTTCTGTAGCTGATGAAAATCCCCTCGATGGTCGATAATAATGTATTACCCACATGAATTGATTAATTAAATTGGTTCAATTCTCATTATGTTACTACTCTTTCTTTCTTTCCTTGATTATAATACTAGGATTACCATGTGAATTAATAATATAAATTAGTGTTAATTCACACTATTTGATTACTTAAAGGCTATGAACATGAAAAAATTCGAATATTTCATTGTTTGAATCTTGATCAAGAATCTTCATGCTTGATTTGCAAGAAATTTCTGTCATAAATTTGGATAATGAATTCTTAAAGGCTTAATTGACGGATTCGTATCCTTGACTGCTCGAAAGTTTCATCACCGGACTTGGTTGTTTCAATTCGTCAAGTTACATCCTCTCGGTCACAAGCTCATCTTCTCGTTTGATTATGATCACTTGACCGGAACTGGTGTTGTTGGTTTCTTAAAAATTTGACCATGATCCCTAGCTTTTAAAGAGTTGATGGGAAGAGTCGGAGCAAAAGATTTGTCCTAGCCCTGTTTCTTCCGTCCTGAAAATGAATGGAAGAACTCTTCATAGTATTGATTATGGTCTCGAGCCTAGTGACACTGTACACTCCTGCAACTGATTCAAAATTAAGCTTGAATTAAAATGAAAATTCTACTTGTTAAAATAATTAAACCCGACCAGATTAGATGTGAACTTAATTAATGAATTATTAGTAAAATTAATGTAGTGTTACTTTCGAGATTGCCTAATGAATAAAATAAAGCCAAGTGAAGGATGGCTTTTTGGGTTTTAGATCGCAGAGCCAACCTAGCTTATTTAGCTGCATAGCCTTTTAATGCAAAATCTACTGTACACTTAGCCATTTTTAATTTAATTAATTAACAGCTTAACAACTTTAATCAATTTGTTAATAATTTTCTTAATTAAAAATTATGATAATTTGTAAATAACATTTGGCTAAAGTAGTGTTTTTATTAAAAAAAAAAAATTGGTCATACCCACTTGAACTTATATTTTTATATGAGCAGAGAAATATTCTGTGGTCAAAACCCAAAAAGAATTAAATACCAAATACAATATATTCTGATTAAAGAATTAATTTATACTTTTAAAAAAAAAAATATTTTCTCTAAAATAGAGTTTGGGGTTTAAAAGAGAGAAAGATGATAGAGGAAAAGACAAAACCCGGCCCATATATTCTGGTGTATATGTGCTGACACACAACTAATCACGTCTTGTCTTTAAAATGCACCACTAAACAATAATTAATACTAATTAATTTCTTTAATTATTTCAACAAAATAGAAGGTGTGATTTTTGTTAATAATGCCCCCCCACTTGTATTTGTCCTTAATTAATTCATTCTAATTAAGTGTTTTGTTTTTTTTAATTGCACAAAAACATATTGTCTCCTAACTTTTTTTTTTTATTTAATGAAAATATTTAAATATTTTTTTGTACCACGATATTTGCACTCTTACGTAATATTTGAAACAAATTTATTTTTTTATAAAATTTTGTTTATAAATTTTATACTAAAAATGCGATTATTATTTTTTTTTTTTATGGAGAATCAATATGAAATATTTCAATTTAAATTTAGAATTTCCTATTTTAATTTTATATCACTTTTAAATTTTTTCTGAAAATTTATAACTATTAAATTTAACTTTATGATTATATTTTTTAAATTCTGATAATTATAAAATTTTGTTTTTTTTTTTTTTAATTTAAAAGAAAAGCCTTGTTAATCAAAAGAATAACACAAACATTCCCTTTAAATTTTCTAGAACTCTCGTTAATTAACGCGGGCACTTCTTCGTTTCTCGCTTAATAATAAAAGTAGCACCTCACATCATCAAACTAGGGCTCGAAGTGCCAACAAAACTCACTTCAGCACTAGGTCACATTAAAAGCTACCTCCTTAAATATATTATTCCACCATTACTGTATATATAATTCCAACTCTGTTATCGACTTTGTTCTGCTTCGTTCCTCAACACCGCAATCCATACTTTTCTGGTGTTTTCAATTCGATCTCTTCTCTCTCTATCCCTTTATTCCCAATCAGCCTATGGTATATCTGTGTGTATATTTGCATATATATACACCCCTCCTTTTAAAACGACAGCTCCATTTTTGCAACCACAAGAAAAAACCCTTCATCTCTTTACTGGGTTATCTCTTAAACCATGCTTTAAACTCTTAGATCCTAAAAAAGATTCATAAAACATCTCCGTCTTGTAACCCTACCTCCTTGAAACCCAGATAATAAGTGAGTTTATTACTCTCTTTTTTTACAGCTACCGTGTCTTAATATTAACTGGGTCTATATATACATATATGTATATGTAAGAAGATGTATGTATGAACAGTTTTGCGTTGGTTAACAGATCTGGGAAGATGGATACAAGAAATAAAAGCTGTGCAGATTGTCACACAACAAGAACACCTCTTTGGAGAGGCGGTCCAGCTGGGCCACGAGTAAGCCATCATCCTTCATATAAATTCATGGATTCATATATATATATATATATAGATATACATATTGATAATACATGTTTGGTATGAGTCTGATTTTGTTGTTTTTGTTTTGGGATTTGATTACAGTCGCTATGTAATGCCTGTGGGATTAGATACAGAAAGAAGAGGAGAGTTGTCCTGGGCGTCAACAGAGATCAAAGAGGAGAGAAGAGCCAAAGGAAGAAGAGTAAAGATGGCGTTTCGTTTAAGTTGGGAGAAGAGGAGCAAGCGGCTTTTTTGTTAATGGCGCTCTCTTGTAGCTCTGTTTTTTGTGCTTAATTAATTTTATGAATAATTACATTAATCAGCAATTTTGAAATGAGAAAAAGAAAAAGCGAATAGGGTTTTTTAAGCTTTATATATATATATATATATATATGTTGTTACATGCATGTACTGTTTGGTTAATTTTAATTAATAGTATTTTTTTTACTTTCAATATTTTATTTCTTTTTTTTCTTGATTAATTTTATTTTGTAACAATATAAATTTAAGCAAATTGAAATACTAAGAATTTATAAAGTTCAGTCAAGTACTTAATTTTACAAGCAACTACAATATATTTATTAATTTTTTTTTACTCATAAATACAAATTAATTGACAAGTAAATACAAAATTAATAATAATTTTATTTTCTAAACTATAATAATAACAAATTAGAAAAAAGAAAAAAAAAACAGATCGTGATTACTTATTTACTGTAAAATATTTAATGACTTAATGGTAATATTTTTTACTCCCTCTCACTGAGAGTGTGGGTAAAATATTTATTTAGCTAGTAGGCGCTAGCAATTTCCAGAACCAACTGCTTTATTCTCCAATACGACACGTGGAAGCTACACTCTACACGTTAAAGAATATAAGGTTCGATTTCTCTTGCCACGTGGACAGGCGACACGTGTCTTCATCCGACATGGATCTCTCCAGAATCTCCTCTCTTGCTTCTTCCACCACCTTCTTCTTCGCCGCTTCAAATATCTTCAATCTGACACAGCAAAATAACGAAGAGAAGATGCAATCAAGATTGGCAATAGCGGCTTCAAGATCGGGCTCTGCAATTGTTTCCGCTCGAAGTCAAACTTTAAGTCAACTATTTGCATCCACTGGTCGCACTGCAAACCCTACTATTCACTCTGAACCATCCGAAGTACCAGAAGCTCTCATTAGTTCCTCTTCTTTCTCTCATACAAAATCATTTTAAAGATTGATTAATTAATTTCATTCTGCAGGATGCAGGGAAGGTGGCCGAAGAACCAGAACCAGCTCAAGGCCCAAAAAGAGATCCAATAGACAAAACCATGATCAGTAATAAACAGAGCACTACGCCATTCTCACCTCCAAAACTGCCTCATGCTCAGACCTCAAGACTGGAGAATCCTGGTGTGAGCCAGCCTGTGGACTCTTACAATCAACAGAAGCGTGCCAACTGGACTGCGGTGGCTCATGTAATTGAAAACGTGAGTTGTGCAGGGCTTGATGGAACGCCATTGCGGGAGCAAGAGGAGAAAGAGTCTGATAAAGTAGAGGAAGAAAAGGAATACTACAAGCACCACAAGGCATCGCCGTTGTCGGAGATTAGAATTGCGGATACTCGAAAGCCCATAACAAGGGCGACGGATGGGACTGCCTACTCCGCCGAGTACGGGCCAGGAAAGGACGTAATAGGGTGGCTGCCGGAGCAGCTGGACACGGCAGAGGAGGCGCTTAGGAGAGCTACTGAGATATGGAGAAATAATGCCGCGCGTGGAGATCCCGAAACATTTCCTCACTCCAGGATTTTGAGGGAGCTCCGGGGTGAGTGGTTCTGAAATGTCGGGTCGGGTCGGGTCTTTGGATTGCATGCAAAGCAAATAATGAAATAAGAAGCTGATTTTGGTGGTGAATGACCTTTTTCTCCTTATGAATTTGCCAATTGTAAAGATATAGGCAAAAATAATAATTTGTTTATGCCTTAAATTTTCGGTGGTTCTTGAAATTTTTAAAATTTTCTATATATATATATGCACGTGGAATATTTAAGATACGTGCTTTCGACTCGCGATTGCGATAGTTTTGGCTCGGCGAGAGAGAATTATATTTATTTCTTTTTCTTTTCATTCATATTTTTACCAACATGGATTGCGTAAATAATATCCATTATTGCGTCATAAAACATTTCTTTTAAAAGATGGGTAATTAATATATTATAATAATTTTTTATTCGTGAAATTTCTTTTTTTTTTTGGTTCAAAATTTTCTCGTTTGATAATGTTTCAAATATTTATAGAAGATAAAAGGAAGAATGGTGCGGTCGCCAATGCACTTGCACTTGCTTTCCCTTCCACAATATTCCATTCCACTCTTACCCAGAAAACCCATAAAGCTTAACCACACCCTTCCACGTGTCCCCTTCCGTCTTCCTCATTGTATTTCCCAATCCCAACCCTAATCACTGCCAGAACCCTTTCAACATCCTTCCATTTTTGCCATTAATGGCAAACTCGATATCAGCACGGCAACTGATTTCCTTCACTCTCCTCCTCACATTGCACTCTTACTTCTCACACACCACAGACCAACCACAATGCATGACCATGTGCTCCGAATGTGAAAACCCATGCCAGCCCCCGCCAACTCCATCACCACCTCCGCCGGAGCTGATATGCCCGCCGCCTCCGCCTCCCCCTTCGCCGCCTCCGCCACCTGCGCTCCCTGAATGTCCACCACCACCGGCTCCAGTTAAGCCGTGCCACGAGTGCCCGTTGCCTGTACCGCCACCACCACCACCCTCATGCGACAAGTGTGAAGGAGTACCGGGATCACCGGAGACGAGGTTTCCGCCCGATGTGGTGGGCGGAGAAGTTTATGGGCCGCCGAATAATTACTTTCCGGATTATAACAGGAAGTCTCCGCCTTATTTTGCGGCTTCTAGCTCCGTACCGTTTTCGGCAGTACATTGGTTCCACCTCTTTCCTTCACTTTTCTTTTCTATTGGTCTTCTGTGTTGATGATTGCAGAGTAAGTACCTCTGTTAGTTACTGTAATAATGGCGGGCAATGGTTGCTTGCTGCTTGGATTTATAATATGGAGATTAAGTTTTAGGAAATTAAAATCTAATAAGGGAGGCTCGTTGACGTTTGACCTTACTTCTTTATGTATTCTAAGTTATATATGTATTGTTTATTTAGTTTACGAAAAACAATATGTATTTTGTACTTTTTTTCTCACCCATATTTTAGTTAAATTCCCTAATATATTGAGTACATTAATTATATTTTTTAAATAAATTTATATATTTATTAATTAGATTATATATATTTATTATTCTATAATAAAAATAATAATAAAATAGGACGTATAATTTATCTTGAGATCATAATTTTTTATAAAATAAGTATTTAACTAATTGATTTTTACATTAATTATGTATTCACATACAACATGTAAAATAAATATACACTCAAAACACATAACACAACAAAAATAATAAAATATAAAATATGGTATGTCTCAAAACGATGATCTCTTATAGACAAATATGAATGCAACATGCAAAATAACCAAACACTCAAATTCATTGTGCATGTGTTTGTAAACAATGAATAAAATCATCTTTCTTATTTGACAAAATAGCGTATTATCGACAAAATTTATAACACATTTTTCATCTCCGTCTCAAGTCAACTCAACTCGCTCATGCCTTCTATTAACTCCTCCCAATACCCTCTCAAACAACCATTTCCATTATTCATGTCCCATCTTTCATGCAAAATTCAATGTTTCCTTAAGCTCAATTATCAAAATTTTCTAACATATTTTGATGGCTCTCCTTCCCTCCTAAATCCATAGTGAATATTGATAATTTTCTAACAGATCAAAGCTATTGATGATTTGACTATCATCATCTATATTAGAAGAAGAAGTTTTTTTTTTTTTTTTTTTTTGTCTCATTCTTCAGCAACAATTTTACATGATTCTTTCACAAATTCATAAACTTCGTGAAATTTATTGATCGAACATAATTAAGCTTAACTATAGTGTGTAAGATTATTAAGAGGGAAGAAATATGTACTAACCAGAAATGTCTGTGTCTCCTTGTCCATGTGACAGCCCTCTTGGGTTGAGGCCTGGGTCAGAGGCTCGTTTAAGATGAAGAAACTTGAATTGACCTGATTCATTGAATGTTCAAAAACAAATAATAAAATATAATAATTGATGAAAATATACTGCCATATGAAGACAATAATAAAAGCATGTTTCACTTTCGTCCACTGTATAGAATGAATATTTGTTTACTTTTTTTACAATCAGAAAAAAAATAAAAATTGTTACTTATAAAACTACGAATATAAATTATGAATTTCACTTTAATTAAATCTAATACTCTTAAAATTTAAAATAAATAAATAAACTTTTATTTATAAGAATTAGGGTGCGCAGTACTCGCTAAGCCATGAACATGACCTCAGTCCATCACGAAACAGTTAAAATGAAAAAAATATATATATCCTGACGCGGAGGTTACATCTTAAAAAGTATTTTTTAAAAAAAAAAAAATTCCACCTGTTGCCTTCCCAAAAAAATTAAATCCCTCCAAAAATAAGTTTGAATTTTTTTAATTTGAAATTGACCTCCAATTTTTCGCAAATTCCCATCGTATTAATCAAAACCGCATCGACTCCCTCATTCAATTTATCAACAAATTCGATTCAAGAAACGAAAAGGAAGTAATCGAGAAATGGCGAGAGAAACCGCTTTACTGCGGAAGAAGGAAGCGAAGACCTCTTCTGATTCCTCTCCCTCCAGGCTTCATCCTCCTTACTTCGACGTACGCTGTTATTCCGGTTTTTCATTCTCTTTCGATTCTAATTTATCTCTTCTTTAATCTCCATGTTTTGATGTCTCTTGGCGTTTCTATGTTTCTTCGCCTACAGATGATCAGCGATGCGATATCGACGTTGAAGGATCGAAGAGGATCGAGCCAGCAAGCGATAGCGAAATTCATGGAGGAGAAGTACAAGGAGGCTCTTCCGCCAAATTACAAGAAAATGTTATCGGTTCAGTTGAAGAAGTTTGTGAAATCCGAGAGGCTTGTCAAGGTTAAGAACTCATTCAAGATGTCTTCCACCGAGAAGCTCAAGTTGACAATCAAACAAACGCTGACAGACAAAGCCATTGCCGTCGTGGACAAGAAGACGAAAAAGGAGAAGGTAGTGAAGAAGACGAAGAGGCTAAGTCAGGTTAAGACTCCGGAGGCGTTGAAGAACGCAAAAACGACGGCGAAGAAGGTTGCTGCGAGATCGAGCGATGTTAAAATGAAGCGACTGAGTCAGGTGAAGACACCGGATAGGTTGAAGAGTAAGAGTTCGACGCCTTTGAAGACGAAGAAAGGTGCGAAGTAATGGGACTGCAATGGCGGTTTTTTATTTTAGAAAAACAATAGTTCTGGACTTTTCTTTCTTCGGGCTTCAGGTGTAAAGATCCAAAACGGTGGCGTTTTAGTGTGTTTGTTAGTTGAGGCATTTTGAAATTGGGGGCATTTGGTATTATTTTTTTTTCAAAAATAAAAATTCAAAGAGTTTTCTGTAATTTGCCTTATTTTTGTAGTATGGATCTAATTCCTCTTATTAAAATAATAATAATAATAATAAAGAAAAACAATATGAAATTCCTAAAATAAACTTTTTATTATGTACTTACAATTGCGTCAATTTCTTGCATTAATTAATAATTAATAATAAAACGGCATAGTTGAATTGTTAGATAGAAATTATGTGCAAAATTAATTAACCAAAGAGACAAAATAATGGTTTAGTTTGGAAATATGTGGTTATGAATTATGTGTGGCGGAAGTCTTTATTTTTAATTAAAGACTAAAGTAATAATTATCTTTCAACTGAATAATTAGTATTTATATTTATATTTAATTAAATGCATGCATTTAGATCAGGTCATGGGTATGACGACGTGTCTTATTATCAAAAATTTGATATTTATGGAAACTAAGCCAGCCGAGTCAAAATCAATACTAGCCCAAGGCTCTTCCAATTGATTTACTTGTTACATTGTATAATCAATTTCATAAATTATAATTTGTTATTTTTTAATTCACAAACGAGTTATATTATATATTTTTTAAAAAAAATATTAATTATATTATTATTAATATATAACGAACATTTAATTATTTTGTTAAAAAAAATATTAATTTTTTATTAGGCGAAAGTGAAAGCAACGAAAAGGATTAAAAACAACTTTTCACACCCAAACAAGGATTTGGATTTTTGGGTCATTTTCCTTTCTTCCTTTTGTGGGGAGGAAGGAATTAATTGATTGTTATTTAGTTAGGTGACAAGCTTTGACTCTTGGGAATTAATTTTAAAGGATGAGGGAGATCTACTATTTCCTCCTCATTAATGCAAGTCGGTCCATCTGCAAACAGATTTTAGTTTTATTTATATTTATATTTTAAATTATAATATTAATTAAAACGTTAATTTTTAATTGCTACATTTTTAAAATTTTGCAAATGCTTTTATTATTACATCAAATGTAAAATATAATAATCATATGTTATATAGAAAATTTTAATATATAATGAAAATAAGCAAGGCTTTGATAATCCAAAGAGATAAAAACAGTTATTTTACCTATAAACATGCGGTTAAATCGTGGAAAGAGGAATAAGGTCCTGTTTGGTACCGCCAATAATGATGGTCATTCATTTGGATAAGGACGATGGATGGAATGTGGATGGAAGCTGACATAATTAACCGACGCCGTCCATCTAAAAAAAAAAGTTCACTGTAATCACCACGCGGTAATTATTATATTTTAACGGTTCTGTCATATATAACCCAACCCCGCCCCCCACTCATGAGCTTATCCTGACAAATAGCGTAATGCCCAAACAGATTTAATTATAACATAATTAAGATAAATCAAAAGCTAAATTCATATAAAACTTGTCCAAATTATTTAAATTCCATTAAAATTTTGTCGTTTATTCTAAGTGTAAGAATTAATTTCGAAATCAAATATTCATTTTAAAAATAATCTTATTTTTTTTATTCGTTTGTTCCAAACTATGCCTAAAATAGGAATTAAAAAAATTTGAATTATAAAAATGACAATTACAAAAATAGAACTGTAATTTTCATAAAAGTTTTTACTTGAGGGACGAATTATTTGTTTAACTGCCACACCATCCATGCAGTTTTTACCCACGTAATCACGTTAAAGTTATGCGTGCATCTTATATACACCAAACATCAAACAAAATATATAAAAAAAAAAAAAAGTAAAAATTATATTATTTCACTTATTAATTATTTTATTAAATAATAAAAATTAAATTAATAAATCACGGATGTGACCCAACAGCCACGATGCTCCGTTGGAGAGCATTAAATAGAGACTGAGAAAGAAAGGGAAACTATCCAGTATCAACCCTCATTTATGGTCACCTCCGCCCCTCCTTTCCCCTTTCGCTATTTAATAAAATATTTCCGATCTTATTTTCATTTTCTTCTTAATTTACACACACTTTATGCACAGCCCAGCTAATGTGCGTGTATAAAACAAAGTATCCCGTTTCGTAAATCTTCTCACCTGCCCACCCTCTTCGAAATCTGGGAAATGGAAATCCTGAGTCGGGGGTACTGGAAGAAGAGAGGGTACGAGAGATTGAATGGGTCGCGTCGAAGGAGGACGACGACTAGGATCCAGATTGATTCGACCCGGAAGAAGCGGTTCTGGCGGATCAAGATCGTGCCGAAGCTGAGGGTGTTCAAGACGGCGTCGCCGAAGAAGTTTCTGGTTTGGCTCCGGGATGCTTACGTGAATATGATGCTGAGATTGGCGAACTCGCGGGTGATGACGTCGAGTTACACCGGGGTGGTGCCCGACGGATTTACCGCGTTCAGGCGGGGCCCGTTGAAGGAGTACGACGAGAAGACGATCATTGAGATCTACAAGTCGCTGGTGCTGGCGCAAGGGCACTTGATGCCCCGCGACGCAGCGAAGCTGGGCTCCCAGGCGCTCTGCCGCATTAGGTGATTAATTAATTAAACGGTTAATATTTTATTAATCGTCGGGTTAAATGTTCCGGGAGACTAATCGAAGAGAAGAGATTAAGCCGTTTGATTAATTAATTAATTAATTAATTAACTCTCGCAGCGATGTTAAATCTAGAAAACAAATAACATAAAATTATGTAGTCTATAGGGTGGTTAATTTTTAAGCTTGTAATGTTTGTTTATGTAATTCAGTAATTGTAATTTAACTGTTTTAAATTTCAGTATATTAAGAAACTCTTTTGGTTTAAGAAAAGCAGAACATGGTTGGGGTAAATCAACTGTGGTAAAACAGGGCTGTAAAAAATTGGTGAGCATTATTGGTCAATTCTGTAACTTGTTTAAAATCTATTCATTTAATTTAAATTAGTAAATATTTTTTAATAATTAACGAGGATTAATTTAATTTATTTGGTAAATTTTTAAATTATTTTACAATTAGAGCAGGGTCTAGTTGAATTTTATGAGAAGGAAATTTGTTCTTAAATTTTTTATCTGTTATCTATAAAAAGAATAAAATCTTACATAAATTTGATTATTAAACTTATATTTGTTAATAAAATCTGAATACATACACATTAAGATGTAATTTCAGGTAAATTAAATATAAAAATCTATAATAAATTATATATATGGGAAAATTATTTTTAAATTATATAATTGAAGGTTAGATTTTCAATTTAATTTTATGTTATTTTGATTAATTTTTTTTTACGAGAAATTAATTTACTGTCATATTTAGTAATTATACAATATCATAATTACAAAATTATGATATATTTAAGAAGATTATGTATTAATGTATAAAAATTGTTTATTTGGACTGATAGAATGTTATGATTGTATATTCAATTAAATTATTAATTTATTCATATTTTATTACATATAATATTAAATAAAAAAAACTCTTATAACATTATTTAAATTATAAATTTTAATGAATTTTTTTTAAATATCAAAAAATAAATTTTTTATGAAGAATAAAAATTTATTTTTTAATACTTAATGTAAGAAAAGTAAAATTTGAATTTAAAAGTAAAATGAAAATTGAGAAATAATTGTAAGAGTAGAGCAATAAGAAAAATATTCAATTATTAAAACATTATTAAATACGTAATTTAAAAAATCTAAAAAAAAATTAAAAAAATAATTTATCATTAAAAATCATCCTATCAATTATATTATATATTTGAAAGTAATTTAAACAAAAAAATAAAATTTAATAAAATATCATGCCGTACATTAATAGTCTATCATATAAAATACAGCATTAATGTACGTGAAAATTTGATCGGATTAATGTATATACAAATTTTGATTTTGACTTTTTTATATAATAATCAAACACGTATGAATTTGTTCCATCAAAACAGTTGATGAATTTACGTAATTAAATGTGGGAATTATTTTGATGTGTCATACTTAAATTAATACTCATTCCATGTGACATCCTACTCATATCTTAACCATCACATTATGTCATTCCATACGTATCATGGATTCTTGCCTCAAAATCTTCTTTAATTAAATTAATAATTTATACCAATTATTTACAATATGTTTATTAATATTTTCAATTTAATAACACAATAACGTGTTATTATTACACCTTATAGTCCTAAACTTAATTTTGTTGTATAAATATATTATTGACGTAACATTTTCTAATATTTGTATAATTTATAACAAAAAATATATAGGTATAAATAAATAAAAGTTATTATAAAAAAATTAATTTGTAAGGAAAATATGTTATCATAATTGGTAATATATATGTTTTCCAAACGTCCAAAAAAAAAAATAAATCAATAAAACAAAAACTGCATGCCTCATACATTACGTATAGTTTCAACACATATAAACATATAATAATTAAGATTACCAACCCCTTAAATGTGTAGGATCAACACATTAAATTACTTTAATTACTTATATATAATATTTGGATTCTTTGCCACGTGGCATCTTATTCAAAGTTCATAATAGTAAATGAGTCAATTTTTTTGTTAATTCTAAATGAGCTTCTAGAAAATGCAGATGTATATTATATTCTTAAAGTATAAAATGTAAATAAAGAAAAGGAAATTCAAATATATAAGTATTTTTTGTTAATTTATTTTCTTAATTCTATTTATTGTTTCATTATTTTATTTACATTGTTGGAAATATATATATATATACATATATACTGGCTAATATATTGACTAATTTATTATATATAAAATTAAAGATTAAATAAATAATAATATATTGAAAGAACCCCCACAACCACCGTTCCCATTTACCATGTTATAAACTCCACCAATGATAATAATACTAATAATGACGAACCAATACCAATATCTCAATCGGTCATGGCTTTCGTAATCAAATTAAAGATATATCAAGTAGTGGATGGGTCAATAATTCCACGTGGGTTTGATTAATGAAATCAAATTAATTAAATGGAGCCCATTAATTCAATACTAATTGGTCTTATTAGATTAATTCAAGCTATTTTTTTTTAATTACTCATTTAGATTGTATTTTGTTTGGTTTTAATTATTCTTATTACATTATACAACTAATCTCTCTCTCTTTATATATATTTATATATAACATATGGATCGAAATATTCATATCCAAGTGGGCTATAAGTTTTGCATAATGGGCTTACTCGTTTATTTTGTTTTAGTTGGGCTCATACATATGTTATGTTTCTCAATTTTATTATTATTTTTTACTTGTAATGTAATATATTTTAATTTTATGATAATCAAGAGTCAAAATTCAAAATTTTAATATGAAAGAGAACATAAATAACACTAGACCAAACTACAATAGTTTACTATTTTAATAATTCACTTCAAATAAACTGAGTAACAAATTGTAAATTTTGAGATTATTATTTGCCTCGATGTTTAAACTTTTATTATGTTGTTATCTCAATTTGTTATTCTTAAAAAGATAAATTTATAGTAATTAATGAATTAACAATGTTCTTTAAATGTACATTTAATTCTTTGGTGCTCTTGGTGTGAAATGCTAAAAATGTTCTCAACATGGGTTTTTTTTGTGTGCAAAAACTATATAATTATTATGTTACAAAATTGATATAAAAATAAAAATTGAAATGGTAAAAGAATTATCTGATAGAAAAATTATTATAATCACTTAATTTGAATTAAGATTATCATAAATTAATTGTATCAATTTATTTTTTAGTAATATAAGCATAGCAATTCATTCATTGATAAACCTAATTTGAATTATAGAGAGTTATGATTCAATTAAACTCATTATCATAAAATTTTTGAATTAAATTTTAGTAACTTTAAGTTTCTCCCAATGATTCTTACAACTCCTTGGTTTCTATTGATTAATAGGGTAAGAATTAAAATTGAACACCAATAATAAAATAAAAAAAAAATCACACTTTGATATTATTTGAACTAATTAATATAAACTAAATAAAAATTTATATTTTCTTAATTTGGAATTCCACCCAATGATTACTCTTCAATCAAATAATGTAACGCACGCTAATTCTTTGGAAGTATACATTAAAATATTGCCGGCTAATTCAATGGTCAAAATTGGGTTGAGTATATACATATATGTTATAATAATATTATTTATCCTCGTCCAATTATAAAATAAAGAAAATTACCAATAACACACGCCATAATTTCACTCAATCAGCGTGATTAACCGCCGTGTTTATACATGTATGAAAACGACGTCGTATAGAACCGAATAATTGCATCACAGATTTAGCCAATTTTATTAAAATTTAAAAGTATAATTTATCGACAAAAAAAAAAATTAATTAATAAAATAAATACTTTAATAAAACATTAACAGCAAGTTCATACGCACACGATAAGAGCATTGGAGGGGATAGTCAACGAGTGCGCAGTGCGCACAACTGGCTAGTCCCACCGTTTTGCTTACACTAAACACCCCCGGGCGGCCCGGGCCCAACTACCCTTTTTCACGTTCAGAACATGTGAAGCACTCTACTTAGATTTTAAACAACAATCATATCATATATTTTAAATAAATTAATATAAAAAATTAATGCCATAATTTAAGTTAGCATTTTAATTAATTTATTTAAATCAATAAATATTACCTTTGGTAGCATATACAAAATAAAAATAATTAAGTTTATAAAAAAGTTTTGCGTGCATTTATTGGATGTTGTGTTTGATTGGTGGAGGGAGTCAGAACTCAAAAGGTCAGGTTTAGATAAAGACGCTGCATGACTACTCAACGGCTATGAAACTGGGGAGAAATTAAACGTGAAAAAAGTTGCAAAAAAATAATTGTATTATATTATTATAATTAGAATAGCACATCATAAATAAATTAAAATAGACCTATAGAGTGTTTTTCAATTTAAATATAACATAAACTTTAAAGTTATGTCCGAATAAACTCTTACTACTAAAATACTAATAACGTGCATAACATTATTATAATATATGCTCGTGTGGTAAAAAAGACTTCCTCTATATGAGTATTAAATTTTAAAATATTAGTAATGTGATAATCACGTGACCATTTTTACTATTTTGTTATATTTTATTTTTTAAATATTATTGAATTAAGTAATAATGTTTAAACAATAGGTAAAAAATATCAAAACAACATTAATGTAATATATTGGGCTATTCAAGGAGGGAGTATGGGTTGGAAAACAAAAAAGAATGAAAAAGGAAAAATGAGAGAAAAAGAAAGAGAGAAAGAAAAAGGATGAAGGGAAGGGAGAATAAGACAAGACCGAGAAAATAAAAGAGGATATCAGGACAAACGAGTGATTGAAAACCTTATGAGAAGTAGGATTGAGGAAGATTTTATTGAAATAGAGAAAGATATAAGCAATGGGTAAGGAAATTTCGAATTTCAAAACCTAATATGGCAATTCATCTTGAATTGTTATTTTTTTGGTCTTTAAAGAGATGAAGGCGAGGTGAAATAGGTAATGTTGCAGTAATTTAGGAGTAGGAGAGTATGAGTTAAGTTTAAATGTGATTAGAGGGAATGTGAGTGATGATCGAGAGATAAGGGTGAAATAGGTATAACAATTTAGGAGTATCACTGGATTTTGAAGGAGTGCATGCTCTGGTGTGTTGCTAAGGACGGTGTGTGAGCATGTGAGTAGGCATTTGATGGCTGGTTGTTGTAGTGTGTTGTTAAAGGCTGTGTGTGCGTGTATGAGTGGCCATACGATGGTCGATTGCCAGT